GAGCTTTTCATACCCAACAAGTAAATCACGAAGGCACATAAAGTTTACAAAAAGAAGCAGACCTAAACTTGAAGGCTTGAGTCTCACACAAGAATCAGAAACTACAAAAGAAATTCACTTGTCAAAGTCATAAAAAAAAAATAATAACATGAAAAACCAAAATAATATATCCCACCAAGTACCAATAGTCCTCTAGAGGAGCACAATGAGAAACCCCTAGAAATAACACAGGACATGGAACTCAAAAGAACAATTATGGGGCTGGAGAGATGGCTCGGCAGTTAAGAACACTGGGTTATTCTTGCATAAGACCCAGGTTTGAATCCCTGCACCCACATGGCAGCTAACAACTGTCTGTAACTCCTGTTCCAGGGGATCCAACAGCCTCTTCTGTCCTCCATGGGCATTGGGTGACATGGGCACACTTACCAACATGCAGGCAATACACACATACACATAAAATAAAATAAAATAAATAAAATAATATTTAAAAAAAAGGAACAATTAAGGACAGTTCGTAGCCACCATGTGGGTGCTGGGAATTGAACCTGGGTACTCTGCAAGAGCAGTCAGTGCTCTCAATCACTGAGCCATCGCTCCAGCCCCAACTGGGATAATCTTAAAAGCATGATCTTTAGTGAAAAAATCCAGTCTCATAAAAGGTTGCACATCGAATCCTTGGACCTGGACATCCTTGGAGGAGCTGAATTTTTGGAATACACCTGTGCAGTTGCAGCAACCCCAAGTTTTTGAATGACAAGTCTTAAGATTATGGAAAACTGAAAAAAACACAGGAATGGAATATGCAGGAATTGTGTGACACCATAAAAAGACAAAACTGATGAATCATAGGCATACAGGAAGGAGAAGAATCCCAAGATAATATTAATGGCATGGACCAGATCTTCAACAGAACCATGGAAGAAAATTTTCCAAAATTAAAGACATGCCCATACAAATACAAGAAGCATATAGAACACCAAACAGACAGGACCAGAAAAGAAACTCTCTACGGCACATCATAGTAAATAGAAAAAGAGGCAATACTGAAAGCTGCAAAAGAAAAACAAGTCACATATAAAGGAAAACCCATCAGGATTACAGGTGACTTTTGAGCGCAAAGTATGAAAGCCAGAGGAGCCTGGACCAAAGTACTTCCAGTTCTAAATGATGACAGATGCCAACCCAGACTACTATACCCAGCCAAAATGTCTATTATAGTCAAAGGGGAAAGAAAAATCTTCCATGACATAAATAGGCTGAAGGAATTCATGTCCACAAAACCAGCCCTTCAGAGAGTTCTGGAAGCAATACAAAGAGCTGAAGAAAGGAACGACTATACCCAAGGAGTTAAAGAAAGAAACTTAATGATGGTATAACTATGGAAATGCACAGCTACATACACCAAGAATGTGAACATAAATTAATTTCATTAATAACTTCAAATATCAATGGACTGAACTCCCCAGTCAAAAGACACAGACTAGGTGAATGGATTGAGAAACAAAACCCATCTTTTTGTTGTCTGCAAGAATCTCATCTCACTTTCAAGGACGGGCGCTACCTTAAGCTGAAAGGATGGAAAAAATATACCAAGTGAATGGTACTAAGAAAAACGCAAGCTTTGCAACTCTAATATCTGACAAAATAGACTTTAAAATAAAACTAATCAGAAAAGATAAAGAGGGACACTTCATTCTGATGAAAGGAACAATTGACCAAGTAGATATTACAATCATGAACATATATTCACCAAACTCTGGTGCAACGAACTTCATAAAAACAGTACTACAGGACCTTAAGACCCAAATTAGTCCCAACTCATAAATAGTAGGGGACTTCAATACCCCATTGTCCCCATTAGATAGGTCAACAGGACAGAGAATTAACAGAGAGAAACTTGAATTAAACAATACCATATATCAAATGGACTTAACAGATATTGACTGAGTATTCCACCTAAGCACCAAAGGACATCCTTTCTATTCAGTGCCACATGGAACTTTTTCCAAAATCAACCATATACTGGGGCACAAAACAAACCTCAACAAATACAAAAAGATTGAAATAATTCCACACATTCTATCAGACCACAATGCAGTAAAGCTTGAAATAAATACTGCACGAAGCTCTAGTCACTACATGAACTCATGGAGATTGAACAATACACTCCTAAACAATGAGTGGGTCAAAGGAGAAATTAAGAAAGAAATAAAAGAATTCCTGGAATTCAATGAAAAGGACAATCCAACACAA